GTTCGTCGGGACGCAATACATTCTACAGATAAGAGCGTACGCCTAGTTTTTGCCTGGCACATTTTCGCCAGTTGAAAGCTTAAAGAATCGACATTGTGGCCTTTTTGTAGAACTCGGGTTGCACATGCTTGTAATTCGTCAGTCTATGGGTCGTACTTGGACTCTGTGGCTGTCATTGCAAAAAGATTTGCTCACATCCGTAAACTTACTCGGGGCTGCCTGCAGGAATATCACCAACTCCCCCAACAGTAAATGCGCGTATCAAACAGGACGGCAAGCCGGCAGCATCATCGGCGCCTGTAATTGAGACACGGGCGATGGAGTAGGAGGCAGAAAATGGAGGCTCCGACCTGTTAGTAGGCGCCAACTCTGTCAAGGTACTTCCATACGGTCTATGAGGTCGTGCTAAAGAGGTGGAGAAGCGCTTGTCTCCCACAAACACCGACTTGGGTGAACATTGCAACGTACCGGGCTGTGACGTGCAACAGCAAGGCGATTTTCCAGTACGGTAATCCAGTGCAGTGGCTCCGGAGCATGACGATCCATGGTCCGTGGAAAATTTGTACTTCAAATAAAGTTCGTTACGGCCGATTTACTCCAGACTACTTGTGGCATTATGTAGTGCCCAGCGATGAAAAACTTGGTCTCTGCCACTTAATTCCAGTCGCATCTGCCATGGACAGATAACTCTTTCGCAGACAGTTATTTTGTATTGCTCAAGAGGTAACGAAGAAACTATACTCTTGCCAAGTGGGTTTGCCTACATCATAGAAATAGACACGTCTCGCCCCTAGACCAAAGGTCAACTTAACACAGAGACGAACCGACAGAATAGCAGGCCGATACAGGTTGCTCCATCCGGATTCCCCACGCACCACACGTTACTTGGAGGATGCAGGACCGGTCACTGAACACTTGGTAGGTTTGGCCAAGATCTGTGAGGATATTGTCCACCATCAAGCCGCCGGCTCGTGCAGGGAAATGGAGCAACTGTCGCGGTACCTGAGGTATCGCGTGGCGATCACACACGTCGACATGGCATTCACCATCCGGTACAATGGGGACTAGACCTTACTTTGGCAGCTGCTGGAAACGAAATGAGCAATTTCCTCCTGACAGCGGTCACCGAGGCGCGGAACAGCCCTCAAATTTCCGAGCCGCATCAAAAAACCCCACCATCATCACACTGCGCCAAATAGTTACTGATAAGATGCCGACGAGATTCAAAGAGGGTCAACAGCATTGCTGCGATCCTCAGGGAAAGCCACTTCCGGCCACATGCTGAGGATTTCTCGTACACAGGCGAATTACTAACGCAGTTGCCCCATATGGCTCGTCAAAGATCATGCATTATTTGCGACATGTCGTCATACCTAGAAGGAAACGACAGTTTTTGGCAAAGGCTAGTCACGGCCGCTACAGATCGTGGCATTCGGTATGTGTTGCAGCAGGAGTCTCTGTGGCGTATGGAACGCCACACTCACGTGCTGTCGATAAACGCTGGCACCTAACAGCCACATCGGAATTTCCAACAGCGCCCCTTGTTTTTTGCTGGCCATCCCATTCATTTGCAAACGCGCCCGATGCTGGCATCAGATTACTCCAGGCTGCCCAGTTGAGGATGCCACCTGTTGTGTTTCACTTTATCCAGGCGCAGTGGTCGTCACTCACAGCATACCTGTCCAGCCTCCGTTGTGGACTGCTAGGTCGTGATGGAACCGAGTTTGGCTCCTCAGACAGCCAGTTGTCCGCTTCTGAACAACAGAATAAGGAAGGACACGCCACTTCAACTGATACCAACGGTCGAGTTGACCAGATCCCGTCAGACCACTACCCAGCAACGGAACAGCAAATCGAAGCCACCATTCAGCAGTTTATCGATTCCATAAATACAGATGCGGTCTGCGATTTGGCGTCCAGACACAACGGCGGAAAGGCATGTAAAATCGTCACCAAGGATAATGGTAGCTTTAACGTCTGCTTCTTTGTCCAGTTTGATGCCGGGGAGGAGACACAGGTCGTAAGGATTCCAATTAAACCGGTTATTCGCGATGCCTGGCAGAAAGTCCTCTGCGAAGTTACTACACTGCGGTATGCAAAACTTTCCATCTCTGCGCCTTCACGCCTTCAGCTATGGGGTAACCAAATAAGCTGCATAGGTATGTCAAGGACAATACAACGATTCCTGTTCCTCGAGTCCTCGCGTACGGCATCCACGATAAAGTCGTAGAAGGTGCTGAAACGCCTTTCATGATTATGAACCTCAGTCCCGGGCGGCAACTTCATACAAAGACGTTCTTGCTCGCAACAAAAGCGCAGCGGCAGCGGCTCTACGGCGACCTTATCGATATACTGTCACAGCTACGTAAGCTCGAGTTCCCTGCTGGGGGTTCGCTGATGCTAAACCCCGACGACGACGAATGCAATCCCATACTCGGCCCATTCCTTTCTATGACTGCGAACGAGTTTGAAGGAAGCAGCGGGAGGCCTTTGCGGCCGGAAGTTTTCACATCTATGAAGCGTTTCGTAGATTACCACTATAGTATCTTGACGGAAACGTACCGGCTTCCCGTTGAGAACTTGTCTTATAGGGATGCCAAGACGGAACTCTACGCGCTCGACAGTTTATCCAAAGAAATTTCCAAATGCGTCGACTCGATACCACACAGCCCTTCATTTGTGTTGGCACATCCAGACCTACGATTCGGCAACATATTCGTTGATGATGACTTCCACATTCTCGGCATCATAGACTGGGAATTCACGGGCACAATCCCACTCCAACTGTTCACACCGCCACCATGGATTACCGGCCACGATCCCGATACACTGCGCATTATGCGTGGGCTTGTGCGTAGCCCCTTGCCTGGCGAGATTTTTGCTGAATTCCGCGACGTTCTGCAAAAAAAGCGCGAAACATCCAGCATTTCAGAAAAGTTATGGCACGAGTGGGGATTTCAACAGGGACAGGCTGGACCAGGAGAGGCTCTCATTCAGGTGCTTCCGCCCATTGCCCAGATATTGCGCCATCCTTCTAGTCTCATGAGCGTATATTACTCGTCTATTTTCCGCAAGCTCTTCGGACCACTAGCGAACCGGGATGCAGAGATTCACAAGTTTTTTGATCATCCGGACAATTTGAGTCTCGCGAAGCAGGTTGAGCTTCAAATTGAGAAATCCAAGCGCTATACCCAATTTCTAGAAGGCAGAGGTCTTCTCGTTGAGGATGTACAGAGCCAGCAAATTCGGGAGTATCTTGCCAATACTGAACATTTAGTCCATAGATAAGCAACGTACACCGTTTACTGTTGGAGCCGCCCTTTCATTTGCTCCACCTGGCCCTTTAAATCTCCCATCTTTTGCCACAGTCTGCCTTTCTTTTGCTCGCTCTCATAAAGCTGCTGCCTTAAAGAATCCACCCTGTTGTTCATGTCTTCAACATCAGCCCTAGCTCTGCGCCTTCGTGAGCTGGAAGCGGTTCTAGTCATCAAGTCCAGGTCGTCTCTAGAGGCGCCTTGGATGGCATCCGTCAACCTTTTTATCTCCTCATCTTCCTTGTCAATGTCACGCATGACCTCGCTGAGACGTTTCTGAACATCTTCGAGTTCCTTGATGTCCGGCGTGAGGCTGGTCATGATTTGTTGGTGTCTGACACTCTCAAGGCTAGCTAGGCTTGACAACAGGAGGGAACAATAAGACGCGTTTTGAAGTTGTTTGGTTATACTAACGCTCTGAGTGCCCGGCTATGGATGTGGATGTGTGGTTGAAGAGGATATCCAAGTGAGGGAGTTGACGGCTCAGGAAACGGCAGACGCCCTCGTGACGGGGTCGATGGGCGTGGGAGGTTATTGAAGCGCCAGGTTTCATCAGGCAGCAGCAGCAGCATTGCGGCCTGCCATAGGACTACCATTGGCCAGTAGGGCCGGCCCGCCCGCCTGGGGTCATCCCTAGGGTCCTCCTACCTGGTGGTGTCATTTACATAGCTGGATTGGTTAACAGACATTAGTTGGAGTTACGCGTTTTTGTTAATTAAGTATTGCACGTCTGACGGCAGTAACCACAACAATAAAGTTGAGGCATGGCACGAGTGCCCCATTTCAAGGCCAACCAACT